ACACCATGGCACTCTACCCAGGGTGACAGACTGAGAGTCTGTCTTGAAAAAAAAAAAAAATGGGCCAGGCATGATGGCTCACGCCTATAATCCTAGCACTTTGGGAGGCTGAGGATGGTGCATCACGTGAACTCATGAGTTCAAAACCAGACTAAGCAAGAATGAGACTCCATCTCTAAAAATAGCATGGCACTGTGGTGGGCACCTGTAGTCCCAGCTACTTGGGAGGCTGAGGCTAAAGAATCACTTGAGCCCAAGAGTTTGAGGTTGCCATGCGCTATGATGCATGGCACTCTACTGAGGGTGACAAAGTGAGACTGTATCTCAAAAAAAGGACCAACATAGATGTTTCTCTACAGAAGAAATGCAAATGACCAATAAGCACATAAAAAGATTCCCAATGCCCTTAGTTATTAGGGAAATGCAAATCAAAACCACAAGATACCCCCTCACACTCATTAGGATGGCTACTATCAAAAAAAAAAAAAAAAAATCCCAAAACAGAGAAGAATAAGTGTTGATAAGAATGTGGAGGCTCGGTGTCTGTGGCTCAAGTGGCTAAGGCGCCAGCCACATACACCCAAGGCAGGTTCGAATCCAGCCCTGGCCCGCGAACAACAATGACGGCTGCAACCAAAAAGTAGCTAGGTATTGTGGCAGGTGCCTGTGGTCCCAGCTACTCTGAAGGCTGAGGCAGGAGACTAACTTGAGCCCAGGGGTTGGAGGTTGCTGTGAGCTGTGTTGCCATAGCACTCTACCCAGGGGAACAGCTTGAGGCTCTGTCTCAAAATAAAAAAAAAAAAGAATGTGGAAAAACTGGAAGCTGTATACATTGTCGGTAAAAATATAAGATGGTGAAGGCACTGTGGAAAATAGTATGGAAGTTCCTCTAATACTTAAAAATAGAATTATAATAATATTCAGCAATTCTGTTTCTGAGTATATCTTCAAAATAATTAAAAGCAGGATCTCAAAAATATTTGCACATCATCTTTATAGTAGCATTAGTCACAATAGGCAAAAGGGGAAAGCAATCCCAACCAGTGGATTAATGGGTAAACAAAATGTGGTATGTCCATATAAGTGGACTATTACTCAGCCTTTCAAAGAAAGGATATACTGACTCATGCTACAATGTGGATGAACCTCAAGGACATTATGCTAAATGAAATAAGCTTGTCACAAAAAGATAGACATTGCATAATTCTACTTATGTAAAAGAACTTATATTTTGATTTTGAAAGTAGTCAGTCATGGATACAGAAAGTGGAATGGTGTTTACCAAGGAGATATTGTTCAATGGGTACAGAGTTTCAGTTTTGCAGGATAAAAAGAGTTGTGGAGTTGCAACGTGTTCATAATACAGTTTAAATGACATGTTTTATGTTATGTATATTTTATTAAAATTAAAATATCTTTTAAAAATGAAGAAAGATATTATTCTGTGCAGCTTATACAGCTTTCCTTTGTTTCATAGAGAGACTTGAAGTTAATTCTCCTGATTTTGGCTGTACTTCCCACTGCCACTACTGGTATTAATACTTGCTAGGTCTCAGTACGGGTCTTCTGTAACTTCCACTAGCATTAATACAGTTAGCTCCTGCCTTCGCAATACAACTCCCAGACCATAAGCTGTGCCATGTAACTCTTTGTTTTGTTTCATCCATTGACTTGCCTGCAAATACTCTCAGATTTTTTGAAATTTCTGCCTAGTAATGTCCTCTTCACTCATATTTATCACTATGTATTGAAACAGAAGATAGTCAATCCTCACAAGAAATTACTTTATTGCTGCATTCTCTTGGAGAGCTCAGTCAACAGATTAAATTCTTTTTTTTTTTTTTTTTTTTTTTTTTTTGAGACAGAGCCTCAAGCTGTCCCCCTGGGTAGAGTGCCGTGGCATTCACAACACCCGGCTATTTTTTGGCGCCCGCCACAACACCCGGCTATTTTTTGGTTGCAGCCATCATTGTTGTCTGGCGGGTCCGGGCTGGGGATTCGAACCCGCCACCTTAGGTGTACGTGGCTGGCGCCCCAGCCGGCTGAGCTATAGGCGCCGAGCCAACAGATTAAATTCTAAACTGAGCCTTCTCTTTGAGAATGTGCAATGCTTAGCTTTAGAGACTACTAATAATTAAACAAATACTTATTCAACACTTATTACAATTTTTTTATTTTTGTTCCTCGGTATTCTTGTATATTTTTTAATAGCAATGGAATTTCTGTAAGAGAAATTACCTCCTTTTTATCTAATACAACCTAGTTAAACTCTAAGCAGTGGCCTTTCCCCTTTACTGGAGAGGCAGGCATGATATCCCAGCTAAACCACTCAGATGTCTTTTCCTGTCATTTGAATCTTCAGTAAAGAGCCTAAAAGATGTGTGGATACTGTTCTATCCTACCAGAACAAGCATTCTGACAAGCAGCTGGAATATCATTGATCCTCCATCTCCCATACGCTCCATGAGCTCCCCAAATCCTTACTTCTGCTTAGGTTTTGCTTATATTAGCCACAGTTGTTTTCCCTTGTTTGGAATCAGAGAATTTAACTGATACCTCTCATGTCTTCACTACTATGTTGAATGTTAAATACTCAAGATAGAGAGAAAATATAAAATACTTAAACCATTGATCCCCATTACTCCAAGAATGTTTTGTACAGTTTTAAAAGATAAGACATACCTGAGACAAATAAATAAACAAATTCATAATGCAAGAGTTCCTTAATTTTCAAATAAATTGTTCCTGACAATAAGAGTTATCAGAATCAAGAGAAGGGGATATCAGTAAATCAAACCCTTAAAAGGTTGATATTAAATGCAATATCAGAAGCAAGGGAGAATATTCAAACCAGAGCTTTGAATTCCAAATGAATTAAGTATGTTCCAAGGGCAGTAAGAATTGATCTCCAAAGACTTAATAAATGAATAAGATCGGGCCATTTTATTTAAAGCAAATGAGTCAAGAGAGAAAATGAGGACCAGCAGCTATCTTGAGAACTAGAACACACAGAATTGTGGGAGAGGGAAGGCAGCAAAGATGTCTAAAAGTGAGAGAAAAAACCAAGGACATTTGAAGTGGACAAGTGTCTAACTTCTCCAGTCCTCAGTTTCCTCATCTGTAGAATGGGCATAATCACAGTACCATCTTATAGGGTGCTATCACAATAAGATGAGTTATTATATGCAAAGTACTTGGACTATATTAATGAGTGATACAAATCTGCAGTTTCAAGACGAGTGTGATTTCCAGCACCCAAGGCTCCAAAGAGTTCAAGCCGAGAACAGTATCTGAATTCAGTTACTAGTTCTTTGCTGACTATCAGGAAAGCAGTTTTGAGGTAGAAATACGATAACAGTTTAGAGAGAGAGTGGGTGGAAAAAAGGAAGACCAGGGCTTTCTATTCAAAAGTTTGACAGTGCTATGAAAGTGAGAGAAAATGTTTTATAAAGAGCACCTTAAAGGATCAGTTAGAAGGAAGAGGCAAGGATGGATTTCAGACTAAGATTTTCACAGGAGTCAAAGAAAGATCCAGGACACAGAGCAGGTTATTATAGGAAAGTGAATTCTTCCTTTCAATGTGGAGAAAAAGATAAAAACATGTTAATGGAGAAAAAAGCATTGTGGTGGAGAATAAACTCTATAAAGAGACTCAGGACCAGTGGACAAGATCTCATCAGGAAAACAGGAACAATAAAATCAGTGGAGATAAAACAGCAAAACGCTAGAAAATGACGAATCTTTGTATACCTTCTTGAAATGTTCTCCTCTCTCAAGAACTTTTAATAGTTAAATTTTAGGAAAACTATCCCTATACATTGAAAGAGTAAGGTAAAATATATTTAAAATGGCCTGTTAGGCTGAGCTATTTAAAAATAAAATACGAATTTATGAAGAGAGGAACGGTCCCTAGCAGTGCTGAGATTGGGTAAGAGATATCATGGAGTAGATTTCTGCATGGCATGAAAGGGAAGAGAAAGCCTCCAATGCCCCTTCCATTTCTTTGATACAAAAATTTAAGTCAAGAATAACGAATAATATTTTATGGCAAGAATACAAGACTCCAGGGAGTCAGGGGCTTCTCCGTGATGTGTGTGAATCACAGGAAAAGGATCCACCATTTCCAGGAGAATAAGTCCTTAGTCCCGTGTCACTGCGTACATGTCCCTAGTTAGACATGTCACCTTACTTTAAGCTGACCCATTTGAAAGGACATCCTGAGGCTCACCAGTACTGACTACAGGAAATGAAAGAAGTCTGGGACACAAGACCCAAATTTTTCTTACAGACAACTGTTTCTCTAAGATTAACAGAAAACCAGCTTAACAGAAAAGTTGTGGGCTTCTTATCTCTTACAGTTTTGCTTCTGTTCGAATGATTTAATTCTCATTTTAGATGTTAGAAGATACATGCAAAAGCAGTTCTGAATCTTGCTGGGGACATGGTCCCCAATGAACATTTAATGAAAGCATTAGAATGTCTCCTCCCACAAAAATGCACACGAAGGATAAGCTTACTTTCATTGAATTCAAGTGTTTCCTAAACAGCATCCTCAGATTCAGTGAAGAAACCATTTCTACGCAATTGGTACTTTATAGAACGAGATATCTCCCAGAAATATACGTTCTAAAATCGCTTATCTCAGACAGGATTTCATTTGTCCTTAGAGTTCCATCATACAGTTATAGCATACACACCATTAATTTACAAAACTGGGCCTTCGCATCCTTTGTGAAAATCGTAAGTACTGCATAATTATGATGATGGTGAAATAGTGTAGGTGATGGGTCTGTCTGTCAGCACATTATGAGCCGATGCCAGAGAGTGACACAAGCAAGGTAAGAGCTATAAACGCATTTCCATCAGTTGGCCCCAGAGTGTTTCTCATAACAGGGAACTCACGTTTGGCTGAGTAACATTCTAGTTCAGACAGCATGGCCTCTACACTCTAGCCAGCTTCTCCGACACTTAACTAGAAAAATCTGAATTCTTTTTCTTACCAAATTCCAATATTTAGTTTCTTGGCTTCCTGGTATCCAGTGATCTTCCCGCCCTGGTTAGTTCTTGATGTCCCTGTAGGTGGAATTTCCCCATGATTAAGTTTCTTATGGAAGTGCAATTCCTAACTCCCACCCCTCATGGTCTGCCCCACCAAAAAGCCAAGAAAACAAGACTCTTTCTTTGTCACATCCTGGTGACTAAGCAGTGGGCAACATCATCATCACCTGAGCTCTGCCCAACGGGAACTTTAAATTATAGAAAAAGGGTGTGGAGGTGGAGTGGCTACTTGAAGTCCTGCTCCATTGCAACAGAGCCACTGAGGGCCAGCCAGACTATTCATGCAGCCCGGCATCTGAGGATGTCTTTATTTTTGCCCATTTTTCAAATCCAGTTACCCATTGAGTCCCTATTAAGGATAATCCCCTGGTTATCTTCTAATAAATAACCCTTTGCTCCTTAGCTTTTAAAAAATGCCAGTGGTATATTTTGTAACCTTTAACAACAACAAAAGTACTTACTGATGACGTAAGGGAGGAAAACCTGACCAGGTCGGTCCCACCGAGTAAAAGAACATCAATTTCACAGGTGGCAACTCCTTAAGAGAATTCTAGATACAATTTGACTATGAGATTCTGCCTTGCGTGCTGAAATTAGAACCTAATCTTCACATAATAAATGACTCTGATGCAGTATCACATATAGTGAAATGTAGGAAACAACCTAATTAGTCATTAAAATTGTAACATAGAAAAATATAAAATAATATTTAAAATGTTACTGCTATCTTGCTACCCAATAGTTTGGCTAGTATGTTTTCTTATTTGCTGATTCTTATCCTTGGGAAAAAGGGCTGAAAGTGTTGTATGTATTGTGAGTTGATGAGTAATTTTATTTTTCATTATCCTTTTCTCCTTTTATCTAGGTTTAAGTTTCTTACAGTTAAGATATATTGCCTTCAAAATTAGATTTTACCACTCTAACAATGTTTTGTAAATAAATATGAAAAGTTCCTCGAGGTATCTTAGTACCTAATATGTTTTATCTTTTATGTTTTCTCAGATTAACTCTAATTTCCAATCCATTCGAAAAGACGAAAATCTTGTATCTTTTTTTTTTAATTACTGAGATTAAATTTATGAAATGTTTCTTCCAACTTACTACTTTGGTGTAAATAATTTCACAAACCTATTGGTTAAAAAGAAAACCTTTTTTCCCCTCTTACTTTTATGTTTCAGAAATTAAGACTCAGAAAAATTTCAGACTTAAATAAAAATTCTCCTATTCGGTCATTCCTCTTTTCCCAGATAGCAACCCAAATGACACATGTCTTAGTAACAATATGCTCATATATAGAATTCAGAAAAACAATTTTTATAAAAATTATATTTAACCATGGCAGGAAATAATTTTCAGTGAGCCAGATTCTCAGTAAATCTCTTAGAATCTTGCTCCATTATCGTTATTGACGTTTTTGGTATGGGCACTCAACCCAGAGAAATATTCACCAAAATTTCTATATGTTACATTTCGTGTCCAATTTTGGTATAAAAAGTGCTCCACGCAGTCATTGTTCTCTATTAATTCATAGAGCGAGAAGTTCACTGGATGCCTCTATCTATTAGGTAGAATTTTCACAAAATCCCGGTATAGTGAGCACATAATTCTTTTTACTGATGACAAAGGATAACACCAGAGAAGTCACACAACTAGTTAGTGGTGGAAAAACGTCTGCTCAGCAGTCTTTCACTATACCTTACTCACTGGCAAAAAATTCACAAAACTCATTTCAGTAGCATGAATGGAAACTGTGGGCAGTGTGTGCACTAAAAGGGGGGCACAGCTGGCCATTCATGTTGGACC